TGTAATAATAATATTTCCAATTTTATGACTTGAAATAGAACAATTGCAACCACCGTTGTATAATCTGAACTGAAATTCCAATCCCACATACTACCATTGAAACTCCCCATTTCGGTAACCTTCCCATTTGGCTTTGATGACATCTCGTACAAAAGAGGAAACTACACCTGCAAATGAGTCCCACCAATCCAAATGCTCATCCAAAATAAAATTCTATTTGTTGGGTGTGAATATGTCAATAGAAAATAGTCTATAGAGGGATGAATAGAATTAAAAACAAAATTCAATCGACTCTTCAAATAAGAGTAATCAGAGGTTTTTATCAGAGTTTGTGCGCGAAAGATTATAGAGCTGAAATGAACATTTTTATTCAATAGACAATTATAAGATAACAACTCAAATCATTTTACAAATATCGTAATGAATTAATAAAGAAACACTAAGTATGCAATTGAATCACTTGAATAATTCATGAGGTGTGGTTACTTAATGTTTTAACAATTAGAATTTTAAAGTCACGATGTTTCTTAGATTTTAATCACCACGCTCTTAATGGTTTTTCAAATCCAACAAAACCTAAGCTTTACAAATTAAATCACTATTGCCAAAATGTAAACCTAACCAATCAATTCTACAAAATGAAAATAAAAGTGTGAGAGAGATGACTCATTGGTTTAAACTGCTTCGACTCTTTCATCCTCGCGTGAGTCTATGTGTACTGTTTAAAGTATAAGCATAATTTCAATAATTTTTGACAAATATATAAAAAGTTCATACAATCACTTATCCTTAATAATGTTGAAGACAATAAAATTTTGATTACGTATCTTGACGTGTATAGATGAACGACTGTCACACTCTTCTGCGTATTTTTTACTCGATCAACACTTCCAATCTTTCAATAACACCAATTCTACTCCAAGCCTTCGTCTGTAGAAATCAACCCCTTGACCCTACTGATACTTTGAGCGATGAAATTGTCTGAAGATGTAAAAAGAACTTCATCTTATCCGTAACTTTTCACACAGTCCTTACTAAGGCAATTCTGAAGAGAGAATCTTTTTCTTTTCACTAAAATTTGCCAGCACCAGTGACAACAACCCCAATCTTACAGGAATCTAAAAACCTTTGAGCAAATCTCTAAGAACTATTAGTTTCAATACAATGTCTCCCCCATTCAATTAACATCCACTCATGATTAAGATGTGATTAAGAAATGAGGTTAAAGATGAAAGATTCCTAGTTGCAAGAGTTATGAAAACTTCATAGATGATTATTGAATTCTTGGTTAAAAAGGTTGAATTCTTGAGATGAAGCACACAAAAGACTGAAAAAAGTTGGTTAGATTTCAATCAAGGTCAAACCATGTAATGTGTCAAATGAGCAAGTAAGTGGAATAAAAGAAAATATGGAAAAGTGACTCATTTATAGTTGATTCGAATCAAGTGCATTGTGTGATTTGAATCATAGGCGACGTGATTCGAATCATGTCCATTTTGTTATTCGAATCAATTACTCCAGAGCCTTTTGGAAAAACCAGAAAAGTGCATAATTAGAATCAAGTACATTGTGTGATTCAAATCAACAACAACAAAGACTTTTGAAAGATCCGAAATTTCACGTGATTAGAATCACATATAAAGCTTGATTTGAATCAGATCCTTCTCAAAATCTTTTGGGAGCCTTTGTCTCATTTGATTCGAATCAGAACTCAAGTGCAACTTATATGATTTGAATCATAGATTTCAAAAACCAAAATTTTATGCTTTTAACACATTCCTTTGTACGCAATGCTTTTATTCCACAACTCATACACTTGACTATTAAAATTTTGATCAAGATCAAATGTAACCAAAAGTTCTATGTATGCTAAAATATATGAATCATGTGTGAGCAATTATTGAGAGAGACTCAAGAATGATAAAACACGGAAGTGATAAGACAAACAATCAAAATATAACTGTATCGAGATTTCTCCCTCTGCATATGATGAGGATGTAGGGATATGCAGCTACAATATTCCCATTCTGCAACCTATAGGATAAACTTCTTAGAAAACAATCGCTCTCATATTCATTTGCACAATATAAAGATCTCAAGTCTCTCCACCACAATGACGATTTCTTAACACTAGTAGCGATTAAATTGCCCAAAACACATAATTCTAGTATGCAATATCTATGCTACAGTAACAACCTCCACAATGCAACCTTGTCATTTAAAAATCTCCATCTTCACTTACTCAATAGTGCCTCATTAAAAGAAGTAATACTTCTAATACCTAAACCACCTTATTTCTTGCTTTTGCAGACATCATCCCACTTTACCCAACTTATCCCTCTCTTATCCACCCCACCACACCACAGGAACTCCCTCTGAATTCTAATAAGTTCTATCAACACTACTTTGGAAATTTTGAAGAATGACAATAAATATACTGGGATTGAATTTAACACATAATTGATTAGTGTGATTCTACCCGCAATGGACAGAAATCGACCCTTCCAAGAAGATAACTTACTCTTCATTTTCTCCACAATAAGTTTCCATATCAGTTGAGAACGATGATTGGCCCCAACGGTATTCCGAAGAAATTTAACAGAACATTACCTCTATCACAACCTAGAAAAGAAGTAACAACCTGCATGAAAGAGTTCCCCAAATTGATCCCCACCAGTCTGCTTTTGAAGAGGTTGACATTCATCCCGGACACCAACTCGAAACCTCTCAACAAAGCCTTGATACACCACAAATTTCTCCAAGACTCTCACTAATTAGGACTATATCGTCATCAAACTGTAACAATTGAAATTCTAGCTCATTGTTCACCTTGAAGCCCTTGAACTTACCACATTCCACGACTTTAGACACCAATTTTGCTAGGCCTTATGAAACTAAAGAAAATAGAAATGGTGACAATGAATCGCCTTGTCTAAGTCCTTTGCCCATCGCGAAATCTAACATTGGACTACCATTCACTAACACAGATAGAGAACAATGACAAATACAAGCATCCAACCATCTGACCCATTTCTCCCCAAATTTGTTCCTCCTCAAAACATACTTCAAAAAGCTCCAATTGACGTTATCATATGTTTTTTCGAAATCCACTTTCAACAACAAATATTCCCTCCTCTCTCTTTTGGCCATGTCAACAATTTCATTAAGAACAACAATTCCATCTTGAATTTGTCTACGTGGAACATTTATGAGCTAGAAACAAGTTTCCCCACCACCCTCTTTCGCAATGACTTAGTATAAAACTTCCCACTAAACTTATGGGTCTATAATCATCCAACACCTGAGAATTATCCACTTTGGAGATCAAAGCAATAAAAGAGGCAGATATGTCTTTTGGTATATTAGCCTTGCTATGAAATTCCGAAACAAAATTAAAATCAACTGACAAAGAGTTCTAGCATATCTTCGAATGAAACTGAAATTAAAACCGTCGGGACATGGACACTTATCGCCATCACATTACCACACCACACATTTTACTTCATCAACTGTGAGCTCCTCCTCCAATTGATAGGCTTCCTCCATAGACAACTGTATAAATGAAATTCCATCCAACACCGGCCTCTCTAAACTTGACTCTACAAATCTTGCTTCAAAGAAAATCTTCACTGCACTCTTCACCCCTTCAACCCTATCGACTCTACTAGCTTCAATATTGACTCCAACCATCGGTATTCCTTCTAGTCATTGCCTTTAGTGAAGTGTGAGTAAATTTGGAGGTTAAGTTGCCTTCCCTGATCCACCTAACTCCAGACTTCTGCTTCAAAATACTCTCCCTTAATTGCAAATTCCTTCAAAATGATTGAGTAAGCCACCTTGTTATATGATGATGATAATACTTTAAGCTCTAAAGCCTTCTTTTTCCAATCGTTTTTTCATTGATCTTCCTTGTCTTCTGGTTTTTCAATTCCTAAATTCTTTCTCCAATTTCTCCTAATCTTTCTTGAACCCTAATTATTTTGTATCATTTTATGGACATCTTTATTTAACCTTTTTTAGCCCAAATAAAAAAACATTTTCATGCATGTAGATTAATTTGTCAACTTAGTGAAGAATTTGTAAGAATGAGTAGTTTGTCCCAATCCTTCGAACTTCTTTAATTTTTCTTCTACTATCACACAATCACCCAATGTGTAAACATTTTCCATCAAAGTTGTCACCTTATTCTTAATACATCTTGGCGGCTGATGATAAGAACATGATTGAAGCTAAAAAACGTTGTCAACAAAAACAAAATTAAGATTCCAAAGAGTAAAAAATCCTCATGAAGTGACAATCGAAGGAGATGTCCATATCCTTAGAACTCTTGAATGCACATAATATCATGCATTTTCTCTCTTACCATATAATTTAAACCTTTCCTCTTAGCAATCTGCCCAAACCTGTAACATTATAATAGAGAATTTTCATTATGAACACACGGCATCTAGAGGAAGCCTAGAAATAAGCAATTAAAACAAGTCATCTTTAGGCCAAAGCAAATCCTCAGAAGTTGAAGTCTCATTCCCCATATCTCAATATGCAATGTTAACAATTATTGCATTGTTTTCGATAATATCCCTGAAATATCACGGAAAGATCTAATGTCATGAAATGTGTAGGGAATTAATGCTCTAGTCGATACGATAGGAGGTCCATATTTCTCTGTTGGACTCATAGACCAGAATAATAAAGTCCCAAAAATATCTATCAAAATAAATCAATTTGGTCCAAGTTCAGTTGGTTTTAGCAAGATAATCAAATTCATTAAAGCTCAAGGAAACAGGAATTTAAAGGTGCAGTGCTTTTAGATCCAGAGTTAACATTCAGTCAGGAAATTACATATGGCACAGAAAATAGAAAACTCACTCATTCTCACAGTATTTATTTTTTACATCTTCAGTTACAGTGTTAGCAACACACCCAATTAAACTATATTTGATAGAAAGGGAATGCTATTATGCACCTAGAAGATGCAAAATGAAGCACTGACTTCCTCCCTACACATTGCTTTGCTTGTAAAACTTGGTGTCAAGAACTTGTTTGCCACACATCGCACAAACTCCTGCAAATACAAAGCACATCAGGAATTGAGTTATGGACTTTCATGCAGTGTTGTCAAATATCAATATCGGATCACCAAAAAAATGATATGAGAAATATCGGATCGCATAGCGGGCAAATATCGGAAGCCGTAAAGCGGTTAAAACAGAAACAAAATCTAAAAAAGTTGAAAATTTAAAATTGAAAATTTCAATTCCAATAACTAAAACAAAAAAGCTACAACCCGAAATTTAAAAGGAATTAAAACTCAAAAAGTTAAATAGTTCGAACTAATAACTAGTAGTTCTTCTAACCAGCCACTCATTACACGAGTCTTCTATTTCACCAAGTGAAATTGGATCAATTTCATCCCTATAGTTGTATCTCCGTAGTAAAGTTTGATTATATTTAACATACACCAAGTTGTGTAGTCTCTTATGCTCTAGCCTATTCCTTTTCTTAGAATGAATTTGTAACATTAAAAAATTTAACAATTCACTATACTAGTTGTAGAAACTAGAAAGAAACTATAATAGAAAAGTAAAATTATTGATGAAGTTCTCTAGACCCTTCATCAAGGGCGGCTTCTTCAGTACGAAAGAAGAGGAAGAATGAACAGGTATATATAATACTATACACCGACTCACTAGCCCACATTTTCCTTTTTCAATGTTTCCACCTCTTTAAATTCTACTTTTCCACCTCTTCACCTTAACTCTCTTTAATGTTTTTAAAAATGATTTATTATTATAAAATAATAATAGAAAAAATATGGCTTCCGATATTCCGGTATACCAGAAAATCACCGATATCGCGAGCATCGCGAAATTGAAATGTTATACCAGCTTTCACATCGGATAGCCAAAATTCTGATATGCAATACCGGTATACCAATGCTATACCGGATATTTAACAACACTGCTTTCATGATACAGTATAGCCGCAAATACAAAACACTTGAACATAAAATATCACCTTTTGAGTAGGCACAGGTGTGACAGTACTTGCCATCCTGGTGCATTTGTTGCTTGCAAATGATGCACTTAGTAGTTCCATAAGGGGTCCATCTGCAAGGAATTAATTTACAATAAGAACAATCTTCACGTAATAAAAAAACGTAGGGTGTGTGATAAATGACAAGTTACAGTTTAGAAAAAAAAAAGGAGCCTTTTAAACAACAGGTCAAGTACAGTATATAATTGGACAAAAAACTTGCCAATGGTACTGAGAATCATGTATATAAGTCAGAGTAGTCACAACTTGTACAATACAACTAACCATATCAAACCTACAAATAAAAAACATTGGTCCAAAAAAGAAGTCGAAGATGTTATGATACCAATCAAGAAAATACCAAATCATCAAAGTAGAGTCAACAACTTGGTTAGAGAACAAAGACACCATAAGCTAATCCACTACAAGAGCAACAACAACTAAGTCTTATTCCACTAAGTGAGGTCGGCTACATGGATCAACTTTCTCCATAATGTTCTATTCAGGATCATGCTTCTATCCAAATCGTTAATCTCGAGGTCTTAATAACTTCTCTTATAGTTTTTCTAGGTCTTTCTCTACTTCTAGTTGTTTGACTTCACTCCACCTGATCTACTCTCATTACCACATAATTTATAGGTCTTCTTTCTACATGCTCAAACCATCCAGGTCTATTTTCCACCATCTTTTTTACTATAGGTGCTACCCCAACACAATCTAATATTGTCATTTCTAATTTTATCCCGTCTGGTCTTACCACACATCAAACACAACATCCTCATCTCTGCTACACTTATTTTATTCTCATAATAAAGCTAACAGTATCCTCCGGACCTTCTACAATACGGAACAATGGTTGGCAAGAAAAGTGATGAAAAATTTGATGAAATCCTCTCGTTCTCCCTTGGGTCCACTAATGTATTAACACACATTCCACAAATTGGCTACTACCATCCAAGTGAATTGATTGTATCTATCATTAGATTTCATTGCCGTATCATTTCATTAACACACTAATTGTTATTTTTCTAGCGCATGGGTCTCTTGTGACTGTCCTCAAGTTAAAACTTGAGAATGAAAAAGATATAAGAAGGTCCTACTTGCTCATATCCATCGGAAGATAAAGCAACAAAACAACTACATATGAACCTAGAGAGCCTTTTGATTGGTCAATGGTTTTCTAATTCTGGAATTCAGCATATTGCATTCAAACTTGATCACCAATTTAAAAGCTATGAAACAAAATTTAAAACAAATAAACAAGAAATTGAAGGTGTAAGTTAAAGGGAACCTGTTCTTCTTGGATAGGAGTTTATTCTCGTTGATTTTGCGGCCACCATTCTCAGTAGTATTGCTGGCTCCTTCTTTCCATTTGTCGGGTACTATCACCTTCGATAACTTCTTCTGACCTGCAACCCAGAATTCAAATACAGAGAAAAAAATATGAATGGATTGCAGAAAAAGATGAGAGATTTACATTTCTCGCACACCATAGCAGTTGATAATGCTTTAGATTAGCGATTTGATTGTGAATTTTGCGATTAGAATATCCAGATTTTGGATGGATCCCAAATCGGAGAAAAACCCTATACCCTTTTCAGCTACTCCCTGTCGTTTAAGATTTATTCGAGTAAAATTTTAAAGAGATTAATTGTTATGTATCGTTATTGTAAAAAAATTTATACCATATATTATAATCATTCACTAATGTTACTTAATAAATAATAAAATGACAATTAAATTCAATTTTAAAATACCTTGCATATTTTATCCCTCAATTTACTTCTCTCGACTTTTTTAGGTTCTCTTTTAATTTTAAATGTGTCAATTTTTAATGAGGTGGAGATTGGGATAAAAAATTATAAAAATTATTTAAAAAAAACTCATTTTAAGTTAAAAATTTAATATTTTATAGAATAAAGATCCTTAACTTTAAATATTTGGCTTTAAAGTTTAATATATAATTAAACTTCCTTGATTTCAATTAGATTATAGCATGTATATAAATATTTTCGATAAAAGAAAATTCAATCAAGAATTATCGAAAGTAATTTTTTGTGTCGAAGCAGTTTGTTCGACAGAGATAAGGGAGTGTCAAAACAGTGTGTGTATCAAAAGAAAGTTGCCTAGTCGAAGAGCTTGTGGATCGAAACAAGTTATACACACATATTTGATTTGTTTTAGATTTAGATAGATTTGATTTAGATCTAAAATAGATATTTTGGGCTTTTATAGTTTTGGATTGTGGTTAACTTAAATCTATAAATAGAGGGAGTAACCTCTAGTTTTGTAATCAAGACAATCAAGTCAATTAACTTGTATTCACAGAATTTGCAGTTGCAAATGAATAACAAAGTTTTCTACAGTTTGTGGGCAGAGAGAAACTCTGCAGAAAATAATTGTCTTCTTTCTTTCTTTTCTTTTCTCATAATTCATTGTCATTGTGTGGTGATATCAATCTTGTCCATCAAGATTGATAGAAATTCATCATAGATATTTGGTGGATTTCCAACATCTGGTATCAGAGCTCGGTTTCGATTCAAGGGAAGTATCGATCAAGAACGATTGAGGAAGAAAAAGAATTCAAGATGGCGAATTATCGGAATGCAAATTATCCAGCAACTCTATCAATTCTAAAAGTAGACAACTATGAGAATTGGTGCAAACAGATGAAAATTTTGTTCAGGTGTCAAGGTCTTTGGGATCTTATAAAAGATGGATTTGAAGCGCTTGGAGAAAACGCTTCAGAAGAAGAAAAGAAGAAACACCCAGAAATTGAGAATCTGAGTTATAAAGCACTCTTTATAATTCATCAATGTATGAGTCCATAAAATTTTGAAAAAGTGAGTGATTCAGAATCCGCAAAAGAAGCTTGGGATGTACTTGAGAAGTCTTTTGGTGGTGCAGAAAAGGTGAAAGAAGTAAGGTTACAAACTCATAAGAGAACGTATGAATTGCTTCAGATGGAAGATAGTGAGAGTATGTCTGATTTCTTCACTAAGGTTACAAAACTAGTGAATCAAATCAAGATATGTGGAGAAACATTAACAACAAGAGTTGTTGTTTCGAAGATCTTGAGATCTTTGGCTCCTAAGTTCAACCATGTAGTGGTGGCTATATAAGAGGGGAAAGAATTGTCGAAATTGACAAAGGAAGAGCTTCAAGGGACGCTTGAGTCTCATGAACAAAGAATGACTGAAAGAGCTGCACGCAAATCGAAGAGTGATGTGGCTTTGCAGGCACATTCAGCAAAAGAAACCAAAGGTAAAGGAAAATGGTTTGACATAGGTAGAGGCGGCTACAACAAATCGAATGGTAGAGGAAACCAGAACGAAGAAAACGTGTCGAATCAAAGAAGACCATACCAAGGCAACCAAAGAGGTGGTGTTGCAAATAGAGGAAGAGGTGGTGGTCGAAAACCTGATAAGAGTCACATTTAATGTTACAATTGTCAGAAATATGGTCACTATTCGAGCGATTGTCCAGAAAAACAAAAGAATCAAGAAAGTGATGCAAAGTTTGCAAAACATGAAGAAGAAGAGATGATACTGATGGTCACAACAAGAGATGAAGATAGATTCAAGGGCCAATGGTACTTGGATTCAGGATGCTCATCACATATGTCTGGAAGGAAAGACTGGTTTGTCAACATAAAGCCCTCAATGAAAAATATGATAAAATTTGCAAATGACAATACCCTAGCAGCTGAAGGTATTAGTGATGTTATGATTATGAGGAAAGATGGCAAGAGGTCAGTAATTTCCAATGTGTTGTACATACCAGGCATGAAGAGCAGTTTGCTCAGTATATGGCAGTTGGTCAAAAAGAATTATAAAGTGTCGATTGAAGATAAGATAATGAGAGTCGTCGACGCAAATGGAAGATTAATCTTGAAGGCTCCTATGTCTCAGAATCGAACCTTCAAGATCGAACTAAATGTGATGGAGCACAAGTGCCTTTCGACTACAGTTAGCAAAGATGAGTGGATATGGCATTATCGACTAGGTCATCTCAACTTCAGAGACATCAAAGATTTGAAGAGAAGAAATATGGTTTCAGGATTTCCAAAAATCGACATTCCAAACGAGGTATGTGAGGAATGTGTGCAGGTGAAGCAACACAAAAATAGCTTCAGCAAGGATGCAGGAAGCAGGTCGAAGGTTATTCTTGAAGTCATATACTTTGATGTATATAGACCAATCTAGGTGGATTCGATGAGAGGTAACAAATACTCTGTTACATTCATAGATGATTTTAGTCGAAAGTTGTGGACTTACTTGATCAAGAAGAAAAGTGAAGTGACTGAGGTATTCGCCAAGTTTAAGTCTATGGTCGAAAGACAAAGTGGTAAAAAACTCAAAGTTTTGAGAACTGATGGTGGTGGAGAGTATGTGTCGAAAGACTTCGACATGTTATGTGAAAAGGAATGGATTATTCATGAGGTGGTGCCATCCTATACTCCACAGCATAATGGAACTTCAGAAAGGAAGAATCGAGCCATCGTGAATATGGTGAGAAGTATGTTGAAAGGCAAGAATTTACCTAAAGAGTTTTGAGGTGAAGCTGTTTCGACTGCAACATACATTTTGAACAGATGTCCTACGAATAAGCTAGAAGGAATTACTCCAGAAGAATGTTGGTCTGGTGTGAAGTCTAGCTTGAGTCATCTGAAGGTATTTGGATCTATTTCACATAGACATGTGTGTGATACGGTGGGAGAATTGACTTGGAGGTTTTGCATTTTATCACAAATGTTGCAGTTTAGCAAGAGTCGCCACCGACTTTTCTTTTATCCAAAAGGAAAGGTGAAAAAGCACAGGAAAGACCTTTGAGATTATTTCTTAAGTTCGGAGGGTAGATTATGAAAAGGAAAGGTATTATCACCCTTTTCATCCATGGTTTTCCATGGGCTCTTAGTTACTTGCTAGATCGCTTGCTTTTGTTTGAAAATGTGCTTTGTGTGGTTTTTGAAAGTATTTAGAAAAGGCGCCATCGTTTTAGGAAAACTTTGTAATGATTCGCGTTTGTAAGAATGTATACAAAGTGTTGATCTTTTGAAAATGTTTTCAAGTTTGAAAGATGTTTTGAAAGCGTTGGTGTTTGTCTTTGAAAATAGCAAGGATGTTTTGGTTTGAAAATGAGCAAGCAACTAGGAACATTCTACCTACTCAAAAGTCTTTCATGTTTATTTCCTCTTTCCTTTGACATTGTTATCTTACCATTGATTTGGTAAATAACCCTATCTTTGGATGTAAAAGGGACGGGCAAGGGTCATCGTATAGCCATGATTAGCAATGTTGCAAGGTATCTTAACATTCTCTTTGAGGGACTAAGATCATTTGAAAGGCAACTTAGATAGCGTCATCGATGGACTATGATCTTATATTTGCTTGTTTTTGCTAAGATACCTCACATGCGTAATATGGCCATTTTGTAAAGGCAACCAAGTGGGTTTACCCTAGGGGTGCTTGTGTGCAAGTGTATTGTTTTCATGTTTGATTTTGTCTTTGATTAGGATTTTCTAAGCATTGGTTTTAGTCTTTCCATACAAACCCTAATTACTAGCACTTGTATATAAAAGTGATAAATTGCGGAATTTTAAAGTTACTACGCTATTACAATACTTGTGGGAGGGGGAGTACAAATTATGAATAGGGATTGTAAGAAAATAAACCTAATTAATCATTACAACCATATTGAATTTATACAAGAATTGAATGAATAAATGTACAAAAATGAACAATTGTATAACAGTGTGAATGTAAAAAAATGGATGTTTTTGTTTGGATTTTTTAGAAGGAAAATGGTTTTGTTTTAACCTAATTAACTAAAGAAAAATAATTAATTAAAAGTGAAATTTAAGTTTACTAGGAAAAGAATTTAAACAAAACCCTAATTTTTAATTGATAAAAAAAGAAAATTAAATTTGTAAGAAGAATATCTTTTTGGTATTTTTTTGTCTTAAAAAATAAATTATAGTATTATAAAATATTTTTGGTCTTTTTATGTTTTAAAATAATATATTTAAAATGTTGTAAAAGGAAATCACTAAAATCCTATTTTTAATTAAATTTTCAAGAATAATTAGTAAAATAAATAAGTATTATTAAATAGAATAATTTTTGTGGGAAAAAAAATAAACTATGTCAAAATATAAATCTACTTATATTATATTTTTTATGATTTTTTAATATTGGGAAAATATTTAAGAAAACAAATAAATAAAAAAATAAGAAAAAAAAAATAAAATTGGGCCAGGGGTGTGAATAGCCTGCAAGGGGGTTAACAACAAGAAAAAAACATAAGGCCCAAAGGGAGGCCCAGCGCCTGCCAAAAAGAAAGTCAGAAATGCAAAAAATGTGAAAAAACCAAAAGCGTACCACTGGGGCTCGAACCCAAGTCCCTCTGGTTACAGGCGCGCGCTTCTACCACTAGGGTGGCTATACATCCGTTTATATAAATCAAACCATAAATATATATGGCAAACACGTTC